TACAGCCCAATGAAGAAGACAAATTTATCAAAGACCTTGTAAGAATTTTTTAAAGGTCTTTGTAACTTTTCAGGTCTGTTGTTTACCCCTTGTTTGTTTTTCCAAAGTAGTTAGCAATAAGTAACAATTATAATGGTCTCTATGTTTATTTTGGGGCCATTCACTAATGCTTAAGATGTACATCTTAGAGTAAACCAAAAATCTAGACCAGTACAGTGACATTCTGTCAGTTCCATGAATATGCCAAGCTCAGTTATGCTCTAGGGCTTTTTTACTAGCAGTTTCTTGAGTTAGGCATGCAAAGGAGCATTGAGCCTGACCTATCTTGGCCTGCGTATTCTGATCTGGGAGGAAAAGGAGGTGGAGGAACACTTAGCAAATGAGATATAGGCTTCCAAGTTAAAGAAACGAAAACTAAAAACCTCTTCCCTATAATAACCACAAAAGACAACTAGGAGATGTTTCTTTTCCATGCACTAAGTTAGAATAGCCATTTGCTTTGGTTTGAGACATCTGCCTTCTCCTTTGGAGTGTAACCTTCTGATGGGGAAGAATGATACATGTCTCTGGATAAACAAATGAGGATGTACAACAGTGGCTTCCAAACCCATTCATCATCTGAGGAACTTATAGAAAAATATTTCTGATTTGAATGAAATGTGAAAAAAATTATCACATGATACTATTGGAAATTTAAACACTGACTGGATATTTAATAATATTAAGCAATTATTACTGTTTCAGGAACAATAGTGATATTGTGGTTAAGTTCTTTTCATCCTAGAGATCTATATTGAAACATTATAGATTGAACGATGTCTGGGATTTGCCTCAGTATAATACCAGACAGACTGAGAGGAAGGGATGTAGGTGGAAGGGTTTAAGTGAAATAAGTGTGTCATGAGTCAATAGGTGGATGATGGGTACATGGGGGTTCATTATACTATTCTGTCTTCTTTGACATATGCTTGAAATTATCCATAAGAAAATTTTTTTTTTTTTTTTTAAATAGAGATTCTTGGGTCCCCAGCAGATTCTGGCTTAGTAGGTCTAAAGCCTATGAATGTGAACATTTGCATCACCATCGCTACCTGGAAATTCACCACCAGTATTCCTCCTTGCCTACCTTTTGTTATAGAATACATTAGTGTTGGGGGTAGGCATTTTGTTGATCAAAGCTCTTATCCTCTAAATATCATTCTTAGGAAGAAAATATCTGATTAATTTATACAAGCTGTATATTTTTAAAATTTTTTTAAATTAAGTTTATTGGGGTAACATTGGTTAATACAATTATATGATTTTTAGGTGTACGTTCTAATTTCACATCTGTATATTCTATTGTGTGTTTATCACCCAAAGTCCAGTTTCCTTTGGCTACCATATATTTGATCCCCTTTACCTACTTCACCCTTCCCCTACCCCTCTATATTTGATCCCATTTACCCCA